ATTAAACGAGTGAGTGATTTGTTTGTTATGCAAGTTATTGTGGATGCAAATTTGTGCCCAAGAGAGGGCTGGGGACGGGTATGGGGGGAGTGAGAGGAAGCAGCTCTGCCCGAGGCTGGAGGAGCTGGGGGAGGGGAGGCGCTGACTCTGGGGACCCAGACCCCAGACTGGGCCTGGACTGACCCATCTCCAGAGGTGGCGGTGGAGCCTGCAGAGCTGGGCACCTGCTTGTGCTCTTGTCTGACTGCGTCCCTGGCCAGTGGGTCGCCGGCGGGTGGCTGCTGAGACTTTCTGAGCTTAATTTCCTCCGGGGAAGGCAGAGCCTCCACAGGTCCAGGGTGGCGGGCACAGGTGCATGGCCTCTGCCAGCCGGCTCCACTCCCTGCCTTTATGATCAGGAAGGTGTGAATCCCTGCTAGGGCCCCTCTGGTGTGGACTTGGGCAGCAGTCAAGGGCAGGCAGGGTCACGTGACCAGGCCTTCATGACAAGACAGGGGGATGAGTGTCTCTACGACCAGGGTCCCCATGGGGTAAAGGAAGGCCTCCAGATTGGGACTTGCAGAGACTGCGCACTGGGAACTCGCTGCAGCAAGGGGTCGTCCACCACCTCCAGGTGTGACAGAGACTCTGGGGCAGGCAGAGGGCGGGACAGCATCAGGTGAAGGGGCGGCAGGTGTCGGCTGGTGGGCACAGCAGGGAGGCTGGAGGTGGCTACCAGGGTTGTGCTTGGCTTTCCCATGGCCCGAGAGTGGAAGTGAGGCCACCAGCGAAACAGCTTCCAGTCACTCATCAGTCCTGGCCATGTGGGGTGCCTGGAACGCATGACTTGTTTGGCCTCTTGGACGCTGATGAGACATGGCCGTCTGACTCCCTCAAGTCTGAGATGGCAGGCTTGCATCCTACGCTGCTTAGTGTAGACAGTGGGTTAACTTCCTCTGCTGCTTAGTGTAGACAATGGATTAACTTTCTGGGCTAGTGCATGTAGATAATGGAGTAACTTTCTAGGCTGGTTAGTGTAGATAGTGGGTTAACTTCCTGGGCTGGTTAAGGTAGATAATGGGCTGGTTTCCTGGATCAGTGCATTAGTTTGATTGTGCTGTCATAACAAAGTACTTGAGATGGGTTATTCATGAACAACAGAGATTTATTTCTCACTTTCTGGAGGCTGTCAAGCCCGAGGTCAAGGCCAGGTCAGGTGGCGTCTGGTGGAACTGTTCTCCATGCAAAGTGGCGCCTTGTTGCTGTGCCTGCAGAGTGGTCGAGCATGTGCCCTCAGGTGCAGAATGCGGAAAGGCACGGGAGTGGATGCCACGTGAAGCTTCTTCCAAAAGGGCATCAAGCCGTCCTCGAGGGCAGAGAAGAGGCTGAGTGTGTGGGGCCTGAGGTTGGCACTGAAAGCCTTGTGCTGCTCTGTGTCACTGGGAGGCCCAAGTTCAAGTCCTCCTCCTGGGCAAGTGACTTCCCCTCTCTGTACCTCAGTTTCCTCATCTGTAATGTGGGGGTGACAATAGTGCCCTTCGTTGGCTAGTTCTGTGAGACCCAGAGTAGGAGTCAGGATTGTGCCCTTCCGCATGATCACCCTGGGAGGTCCTGGAGTGCCCTCAGGTCTCCAACTGTGTGTGGAACTCTGTCCTCCAGAGCTTGCACCCTGCCCTGGCAAGGATGAGGCCTGGATGTGTCTCCCCCGAGCAGCCCTCTGGGGACCGGTGGTGACAGCCTGGCTGGGGAGGAGGCCCAGAGGACGCTGGGCCACTGTCAGTGGAGGGACCAGGTCTCTTTTGCTGTCTGAGCCCCAGTAAGTGGTGAACACTGCTCAGCCCTGTGCAGACACGGGGGTCACCAAGATGATGGCAGCCACCACCAGGTGCCCAGTTCTCGGCTGGGACAAAGCAGTGACAGGAAGGGGAGGAAGGGTGCAGAGGACGGAGTTGGGAGGGACACCTGAAAGACCCAGCTGGGAAGAGCCAAGACAGGTGAGGACGACCACTGCAAGAGATCCTTGTCCCTGAGCCTGGGGACCCGCACCAGAGGTGGGCAGAGGAAGAGAGACACACAGGATGTTCGGCATCCACGGGCAGGGCTCAGGGGTTTGGTGGTTTTACTTGCTGATGTCAGCTGTGGCTGGGGGTTTGCAGTGACAAAAGTCAGCTGTAGAGGCCTTTGTGCACATGTGCGTGCATGTGTGTGTGTATGTGCCTGTGTGCGCATGTGCGTGCGTACATGTGTGTATGTATGTGTGCGTGCGTGTGTGCATGTGTGTATGTGTGTGCGTGCATGTGTGCCCGTGTGCTTGTGTGCCTGCACTTCGGCCCTTGTGTGCTGTGACCTGCCACAGGGAGAGGGGTCCACAGTACTTGGGGCTGTGTGCTCGCCCCTAGAGACCACTCTCCCAGTGCCAGGACCCTGAAGCTCCTCACAGACCACCTTGAGCCCCCTCCTGGTCCGCACAGCCTCTTCTGTGGGCGTATTTACGAGGTGGCTCATCCAAGGCCCAAGGGGTGCTGATCGGGGGGTTTAGGTGAGGCTGGGACATGCGGCTGGAGTATCTATGCACACAGGTCCCTCGCAGCGTCCAACAAAGCTGGAGGCAGGAAGAGGAGGTGGCGGGAGAGCCAGCCCCGGGCCCCACCCATCCCTTGCTCAACATGTTGGCACCAAATGCCAAGGAGCCTGAAGATTCCGCATGTGAACGAGTCCTCCTGTGGTGTCAAGAAGGTGTATTTGTCAAAATAGGAGGGGAATGTATTTTAACTGTTAGCTTGATGCATAGCTTCTAAAAATGTTAAAATAAGAAGATGTATGGCATGTGGGCCTCACAGATGTGGGGAGTGGGTCTGTTTTTGTTCGTGTCTGCCTTCCCAGGGCCTAGGACAGAGCCTGCAGCATATGAGGTGCTCAAGAAAGGTTTGCTGAGAGCAACACCCACCACCTCCCAGGTTGCAACCCTGCTGTCCCTAGACACCATCGGCTTCTCGAATGCATGGAAAAAATACAAGCCAGGCCAAGGCCGACTACTTAAAGGGGGACTTTATTTCCTGCTCCGGAGCAGTGTGCCAACGCTCCACTCTGCTCCGGTACACGACAACTCTGCAAAGCCGCTACCCCGTTTGGAAGCAAGACCACCCGGCACTAAAGACACATTGAAAACATCGACTCTCTTCCCTTTTTTTACCTTTTTTTTTTTTTGATACAAAATGATACAAACAACAATACAAAATAGTTGTGCTGCTGACGATTACAAAAAAAGTTGGAACATCTGTCTAACCCTGCAATGCTGAGTTGCAGTGTGAACACGTCATACTCCAGAACCTTGCTCCAGAACAGCCACGGTCATGCGGGCTGGACACGTTTTGTCCATTTTCAAAAATAAACATGCAAAAAAAAAAAAAAATCCGAATGAGAAAAGGAGAGAAAGAAAGAAAAGTAACACGCGTTCCAGTTATACACAGAGGCGGCCACCCGCCGTGGCCTGTTGCGTCGAGCGGTCCCTGTCTATGTACACCACGTTGCCATGACCTACTTCACACGACGCTCGGCCTGCAGGAGGTTGTGTTTTGATGTTTTTGGTGTTACTCCTTTCAGCATTGACAGAAATCGAGACTCTCCCACCCCTGACTTTTTACCTTGGAGAGAACAGAGTTGTCATCTCAGTTGGCCGTGTGTGTCAGCCAGTGCTCACGCTAGGGAAACTGAGGCATCTCTGAGGGCCTGACAGTTGGCTGTTACTCTGACACTCTGGCGGTGGGAGGCCTAGCATTTTGGATGTGCTGAAAGACACGAGAAAGAGGAATCCTGCTGGGCCACGAGGTGCGGGTGCCGAGGTCCCTGTGGGCGCATGGCCCTGGGCTGGGGGCTGCCGCTGACCGAGGCCAGGCGTTCTTGCTAGTCCCCCTGCAGTGCAGGTTTCTTCTGTTTGCAGAACAAAAATTCCCTAAAGAAGCAAAACCATGCCCTTGCGCTCTGCCCCTCTGGCCTCCCTGCCTAGACTTACCAGGTCCCCTGATCACAGGCACAGCTACGGCTACAGAAAAGAGACGTTGACACTGACTGATGCTTTGCTAATGCTAACTCGTTGGCCTGGGGATGGGGCTCTGGGATGGATCTGGGAGGGTGTGGGAAACCCACTTTTCTCTGGCCCCCAGGGGCTGGCTGGGACAGGGCATGGGAAGCCCCCAGGGACATCCCTCCAGATGGTGCCCAGCTTTAGCCTGTGTGATGGGGTTTGGCAGTGAAGAGAGGCCAGGGGAAAGGAGGGGCAGTGGCCTGGAGGCTGGCCATACAGACATCGGCCCATCTCTCCCGTGAGGTGTGGTGGAGGGGCGGCTGGTGGGGTCGGGATCTTCTGGTACTGTGTCGTGGGCTGGCCACCTGTCCCAGGAACTGGGCCCAGGGCATGGGGAACCCAAGGAGGCCTTGGGATTTCAGAGAAAGGGTTCACGGCTGCCTCGGCTCTAGATCATATTCTTGGCTCTCAGAACAATCCACTTACACTCCTCGGGCTCAGAACTTTGACTGGAGGATAAACTTTCCAAAACAACAGAAACAGAAAATGCCAGCTTGGCCCTGACCTACTAGCAATCCCTCCAATGGCCATGTCCCCAGACACTTAGGACCATTCTCACTGGCTACCCAACCCAAGTGATTTGCATGGCACAGCTTAGGACAGGGGTCCTGATGTCTCCCATGGGCTGCCCCCTGATGTCTGTGTGCCCATCTCCTGGACTGGCTGTCTGCACAGAGGGGGCACTAGCATGAGACAGCCCCCATCCTTTCCTCCCTCCTTGGGCAGTCATGGAGAGGTCAGAATGGACACAGTTGGTGATGAGTTTGGTTTGGGAAGAACCCTGATGTCCAGTGGGGACACACCTGTGAGTATGGCGCACACATGTATACACTCAGGTGTATCTTTGAGGCCAATGCTGTTTAGAAAAGGGGATGGCCTTAGCCCATGAGACAGCCCCCATCCTTTCCTCCCTCCTTGGGCAGTCATGGAGAGGTCAGAATGGACACTGTTGGTGATGAGTTTGGTTTGGGAAGAACCCTGATGTCCAGTGGGGACACACCTGTGAGTATGGCGCACACATGTGTACACTCAGGTGTATCTTTGAGGCCAATGCTGTTTAGAAAAGGGGATGGCCTTAGCCATGGAGAAAGGCCAGTCTGAGGAAAGCGATGGACCAGAGACCCCCAGGTATAGAACACGCTGCCCCCCAGGCACCTCCAGCCTCCCCAGCCCACTTGAAACTTTCTCTGGAGCGCCTGGGAGGGCTTCCTCATCCTTCAGCAATGCTAGGACCCTCACCCACTCCTTGGGGAGCATGATGTCATGGCCCGAGGTGAGCCAGAGAGCTGACCAAGGGCGAGGATTCCCCTACGTGGTGCCTGCTTCCTGCCCTGGCCTGAGGTGCCTTTATGCCCAGAAACAGCTGTCCCTGGGGAGAGAAATGCACAGGCATGTTTTCTCATCCAGTGAACAGAGGCAGCCGTGAGCTATCCTAGTGAGTCCTTGGACATAGCCCCTTTTGCTGTCCTGCGGAATTGACCCCCCACCCTGGCTTGAGAGTTAAACCACCTGTGGAAAAAGCAACTCCATCTCTGAGAGGGACACAGCAAAGCTATTCGGCAGCTGTGCGCGACCGACATGGGTCCAAAGGAAAGGAGATTTAAGTTTCTGGCATGTGTAGCCCAGAGGGATCTGTGAGAGGCGGGGCATAGCAAGACAGGGTCCCTCCTGGCCATTTGGAGCAGGTCCTTGCCGTCCACATCAGTTCACAGGCATCAGATAGGATTGCAGGTCCAAATGCGCCAGGGGAGAGGAAGAGGCCGCCAGAGTCTGCCACACTTGGTGGCGGTTGCAAAGCCTGTGGTGTAACTGAGGGCTGGTTGCTGTCTCGAGCCGTGTGTGAGGGTCAGCTCTGGCTGCCATCTGCACAGCCTCCGGGGGGTGGCTGGAAGGGTCGAGAGCATTCAGGGATTTGGACTGATGCGTGATTGCTGGACCTTTGGCGGGGTCCCATGGAGTTCTGACCTCGTGCCAGGGTTTTACAGGTGTGGCTGGTTTGAGCCATGGCTTCTTGGGACAACATATTCTCCTGGACCAAAGGCAAAGGGGCCCTGGGTGGCATATGGGGTGAGAGTTGGCCCTGAGGGAGGCCTTATGGTTGACTGTGGGGTTTTGGGGGTGGCCAAGAGCAGGGATGGGGAGCATCCGGGATGGTCCTGGGAACCCCACCGGGGCCAGCTATTTATAGCCTCTGGGAGTCGGGGGCGGGGGCTCAAATTCAGGTGAAAGCCAGATCCACACGCAGTCACCTTTGGTCATCAAGGGCGTGGCCAGCCCCAGGGGGCCTTTCTGCTGCTGGGGTTGAAGGCTAAGCCCTCCTCCCATGGCCTCGGGGACCCCCAAGGGGGTTCAGGAGACCCCAACTGTGGACAGAAAAGGCTGTCGGGATTAGAACTCCAAACTGTTTTTCCAAACGAGTCACCCATTTTGTTTTTCTTAATAAGTGACCAAAAATAAAAGACACATTCTCCCCAATTCCTTAATTGATGCCTTAAGAACCGGGGCTGACTGGGGCCTGGGGCCACTGGGGACGGGGATTCGGGGGGACCTGGTCTGTCTGTCTGCTTGTAGTCACTCCTGAGTTTGAGGGAATCTGATACATGTACCAAAAGGCACTTTCATTTTTTTTTTTTTGTTTAAAAACAGTGCTTCTGTTCTAAGAAATTCAAGTTAAGACAGAGTGCCTCTCGCTCTCCTGTAGTGACAAGTTGGCTACTGTGATGGGCAGCGGTTGGGTGCAGGGCGCGCTGGTGGGGAAGAGTTTCATGCTGGACAGCTTGACGCTGGGGAGGGCGGGGGGGAGGGGCCTCCTAAGACACCACTAAATGACAGTCCGCAGGGAGAGTCGGGAGTCCAGCTGCCTCTGTTCAGTCTGCTCCTCTGGCGTCCGAGCGCTGTTCTCATTTCGGTCCGGATGTGTGAGGTCAGTTAATCCTCTTCGCCGCCTCCGTACATGTCCGCCAGCTTCTTGAACCTGGGCCCCCAGTCGTTTAGGTAATCATAGTCTTGGTCCCCAGAGCTGGACGAGTTCAGGGAACTGACAGAGCCTGCGGTGGAGCCACTCCCTTCATAGTCAAAGACCAGCAGGGAGTCATAGGGGGGTGCTGTGGGGTCATTGTCAGCTGCTCGAAGTCCCTGGAGGTCATGAAGACATGGGGTTAGGGTGGAGGGTGTGTGGTCTCAGCCCTGGGGGTCTGACGAACAGAATGGGGCTCCAGAAGAGGAGTTGGGGAAGTAGGGTAGGGAGATGAAGTTATAGGACCTTGCATACCTTAGGAGCTCAATAAGTGCTCCCTGCGTTTAACTGAAGGGCATTTCAGAGGACCAACAGAGAAGGGCGTTTACAAAAATAGGATGTGTGTCGGAGGTTGCAAACTGAAACGCCAGCAGTGGCCACGCAAATAGCAGACTGAGGCAAGAGGGCCGGGTGCAGCCTGTGGCTAGAGCTCAGACACACTAAGGCAGTGATGGTTCTTGACTTGGCCTGGAGGAAACACGGACCTAGGGTGGCCAGAAGTCAGGAATCAAGTTAAGTTAGACAGCCCCAAGAACAAGATTTGGCACCTGCTGGCCAGCCGAGGGTGACTGTGGGAGTGGTGGATGCATCCCGGTCTCCCTCACCCCACGGCGGGACAACTCCTTAGTGGCTGTTCTTCATTGGCTGCTGGAGGTCCCAGTGGGTTGGAGCCCTAGGTGCCCACTGGGTTTGTTGGGCCAATGGGGTACCTCATGGCTCCTCTGTCCCCTGCCTCCCTATCCCTACCCCCTACCTGTGCTCCCTGAGATTGGCCTCTAATAAACCACCTGCCCTCAAATAGTGTCTCTTGGACTGCTTTTGGGGAAACCCAAACTAAGATCAGAAACTAATTCAAACTAAAACTCAACTCCAGTGGGCTGAAGAAACACATCCCCGGCTCCCGCCTGCTGGTTCAGGAGGTCAGATTGGAAGGAGGGGTGGGCCTCCTCTGGGCCCACTGGGCACACCAAGAGCCCTCCGTGAGCACAGGGGACCCCGGCCCTGGGGCCCTGCGGCGATGCAGCCCTCCTCCTCTTCCCTGCCTCCTCAGCATCGAGGGGAAGCCGGCGCGTGCTGGGCTCCAACTACCTTCAAGGACTGTTTCCCTGAAGGACCCAGCCAGCCAGAAGCCAGCCCTGCCCCTTCAGTGCAGTCACCAGACGGCCTCGAGGGCTTTTCTTCACACCCCAGAAGGGAATTGTTAGCTAGTCAATGTCATGTACATTTAAATATAAGCCCTCTTGCTAAAAACGGTTTCTCGCAGATTCTGGGGCTAAAGACAGAGGGGACAAGATGGTCTCACATTAGGATTCAAGATCCACTGTCTTTTTTGGGAGATGGGGAGAGGATCATAGCTTCCCTGTTTGCAACATCTGGGGTGCAGCAAGGTCTGGGACTGGAGTGCACAGACCCGCTCCAGGGGCGTCAGGAACGCTTACATCTCAGCCTGTGTCAGAATCTAACTCCAAAGGAATCTATTTAAACAGAATATAACCCAGGGGTGATCCAGCGGAGACACGAAACGATTTCTCGGAACATTCCACAAAACATATCGGGGTTCTGGGCCACACATGAAATCTCTTCAACTGCCCCAAAGCTGACACTGCTCAGTTGACATGTGCCTCTGTGATGTGATAATACCATCCCCCCACAGTCCTGGGAGGCGACCGCACCAGCTGGTTCTGGGCCACACATGAAATCTCTTCAACTGCCCCAAAGCTGACACTGCTCAGTTGACATATGCCTCTGTGATGTGATAATACCATCCCCCCACAGTCCTGGGAGGCGACCGCACCAGCTGGATCAGGCTCCCTTGCAACGAGCCTTCTCCTCCATCCACTGCCACCTTTTTCGATTTCTTTTTTCTCAGGATATTTATATTTTTCTTCCGGTTTATTTGCTGTCTTTTTTTCTAGCTGCTTGAGTTGAAAGCTTAGAATGCTTTCCAGTTCTCTACTGATGTGTTTAAGACTACAGTGACCCTTGAACGACATGGGGGTTGGGGGTGCCAGTCCCCGCCCAGCTGACTTCTCAAAAGCTCAACTACCAACAGCCCACTGCTGACCACCTTAGCGATGACAGTCGAACAACATGTGTTTTGTATGTTACATATTTTACATACTTTGTTCTTACGCTAAAGTAAGCTAGAGAAAAGAAAATGTTCAGAAAAATCATAAGGAAGAAGAAGTACATTTATGGTATTTTTTTAGAAAAAACCTGCGTGTGAGTGGCCACATGCAATTCCAGTCTGTGCTGTCCCAAGGTCAACTGTGCGCTTTCCTTCGAGTGCCTGGTGGGCCACGCTCGACATCATCCTGTACTGCATGGCGTATGGTTTCCATTTTTAATTTCCTCTAAGAGTTATTTAAAAGTGGGCTTTTACTATAGATTGAGAAGGACATAGTTTTGGGGGATTTAAAAATTTTATTACATCATAGACAGTATGTGTCGGCTGAGCAGTGTCAGCTTTTGGACAGTTGTAGAGATTTCATGTGTGGCCCAGGACCCGATTTGTTTTGTGGAATGTTCTGAGAAATCATTTGTTTCTCTGCTGGATCACTCCCTGGGTTATATTCTGTTTAGATAGGTTCCTTTAGAGTTAGATTCTGACACAGGCTGAGATATGTGTTGCTGACCCCCCTTAAAAACACAGTGGGTCTTAGAGACCATGTAGTGAAAACCATGAGGACCCAGCTGGTTAAAAGGGCACCAAACATGTGACAGTCTCACATGGAGTCGCGGCGACAGTAACTGCTGGGGAAGTAGCTGATTGGGAGAAGTCCATCCTGGTTCACATCGTTCCTCTTTCCTTTCCCGCAAAGGAAGATGGAAGCAGGACAGGGAGGTGGGTGTTTGGAGAGTAAATTGAGTATTTCCCTGGCAAGGTTGGAAGAGACGTTTCAAGCTGTCTTTGGCAAAGGGTGATCAGAGGGTGGGGGCAATGACACTGAGTCGCCTCCAAACCCCAAATGTCAGGATGGGCATGTGGTCAGGTGGCAGCTTGGAGAGCGCCACCTCCAGGGCGGTTCCCAATGCACGGGGGACGCCTTGGGGGGGGGGGGTTAGGAAGGCTGTTCCCTTTGGCAGTAGGCCAAGTCTAAGATTAGAATTCAGGGGGCTCACTGTACCCCAGTACTGCACCATCATCACCTCAGCTGCTTGTCTTGAAAGGTCTTACTGCGACCAGCCTTGGGGGGGGGGGGGTTAGGAAGGCTGTTCCCTTTGGCAGTAGGCCAAGTCTAAGATTAGAATTCAGGGGGCTCACTGTACCCCAGTACTGCACCATCATCACCTCAGCTGCTTGTCTTGAAAGGTCTTACTGCGACCACCACCATCACGCCCACCCGGCCCAGGGGAGGAATCTTAATCCTCTGCTTTTGTTTGTGCAGGTTGATAGGATCTTATTTTTAGAGACATCCTGCTCAGGCCCTCCCCACTGCTGGGGTACCCACCTCGTTGATGAAGTCACCGATGTCGCCCGGGTGAGGCACCACGGGCCTGACCGGGTACTGGGGCTCAGCACCCACCGGCCGCTCGTCCACCCGCCGCACACCAGGGGCCTTGCTCAGCACATGCTCCATGGCTTCTGGCTGCTGCAGCTGGCTGAGGTCATAGTCCTGGGGTTGGGTGGTAAGGGAGTCAGGGGGAGGCTGTTCGGGTGGGGGCAACTGGCAGAGGCACCAGAAGCAGCCCCCAAGTGCACCTTGTCCTGTTCTGTGACCTGGGCTGCAAGTGTGCCCGATGTCCTATTTTGTCCCCTGGTCCCGAGTCTGTCACTGGTCTGCCCCTCCCATGGTGCCCTGTCCTCCAGGCAGGTGTGCGGTCTGTGCCCACCCGGCTGCCTTCACTGGCCTGGCACTCCACCAGAGCAACCCCACCAGCCATGCAGCTCAGCAACCATGTACCTTCCCGCATGCTCCCAGTGCATGCTGCTCATGTGCTCCTCGGGGTGGGGTGGGGGGTATTGAGGGGTCTAAGCTTCAGTGGATTAAAGACTTGCCCTGAGGCCCTCAGTGGCCAAGAGCGGGCCCAGATTCCAGCCAGGCAGCTCCTTGTAATCCACCCTCCTGGGCACCCAGTGCACTGTCCCTGGCCCCTTGACAGCCCCCAGCACGTGGGAGTGCCTGGCCATTGGGTGTCACTGTTCCAACCCCTTCCCTCTAGGGCACAGGGCAGTGCTTGGCTGGGGTCTGTGGCTGGAGGGACACAGGCGAGGGGAGGTGCTGTGTGGAGGATGCAGGCCAGGCTGGACATGCTTGCCCCGAATGGCCTCCTTGCTGGGAAGGGCCGAGTGTCCCTCTGTGAGAGCCAGGAGCCAGCCCCCAAGCCCCCATGGGCTTCACCTGGTCCTCCTCGCCGCCGCCTTCCTCGTCATACTTGAGGATGTTGTCACGCACGTCGTCCTCGGGGTCAATGAGCAGCTGCTTCGTGTGGCGCTCCTTTTCCCGCCGCTTCATCCACACGACGAACAGCAGGACCATGGCTGCCGGGAGGGGCCGCACCGTGAGCAGGTGTGCACACGTGCACGCCTCTGTGAATGCTGCGTGTGTCTGTGTGGCATGTGTGTGCAGGCATGCACATGAGCATGGATGCGTGTGTGCCTTTGTGCATAAGCACATGTGCATGCATATGTGTGCCTGTGTGAGCATGCGTGTGCCTGGGTGTGCAAGGAGGTATGCATCTATGCATAGGTGTGGCTCATATGCATGTGCACGAGCAGATGCACGCATGCTCCATGCATGTCTAAGCATGTATACATGTGTACGCACACAAGCATGTGTGTATGCACACACATGTATATGCATGTGTGTATGCCTGTATGTGAGCATGTGGATTTGTGTGGCATGTGCACTCATGTGCTCATGTGTGTATATGTGTGCATATGTATGCACAGATCTGTGTGCATGCCTCTGTGTGTGCATACTTTACATGTTTGTGTGTACGCCAATGTGTTCAGATGTGGGTGTGAGAGAGTGCATGTATTTTGTACATGTGTGTAGTGCGTGGGTGCACACAATTGTGTGTGTATGTGTGTGATGCACGTGTATGTGCACACGTGTGCTTGTTCCAAGGCAGAGCTGGACTGGCTCAACCCCTCTTCTGCACTCACTGCCCTGGCACTGGGATGGTATTTTGAGACATTTATCTAGTTACTATCCCTCTGTGTCCTGAGGTGATGACTAGCTCATGCACACTTCGCTGCTAGGGGGCAGGATGACACTAGGGGTGAGGGCCTCGCCACGGGTCTTTTTCATAATCACTCTTCTGAACAGCAGGAGATGAGGGTGTTGGTGGAGGAGGTAAAAGTGAGGGTTTTCAGGCACAAAGTGTCATAGAAGGAGGGGGAGGAATTATTCCCATGTTGGAAAGAGGCTCTGGGAGGGGGCAAGGGAAGAGAGGGGAGCTCAGAGAGGGGCCTCTGAGGGGACCTAGGGGTCCTGCATCCTGAAGGTCCTTGGGGAGGGGTCAGTCCCAGGCTGGAAATAGCAGATCAGCCTCAGCACAGGCAGAACAGGAGAGGGTGACCCGTGTCCGTCCCCAGCCCCAGGATTGCTGGAGCCCACGTGGCAATCCGGGTGGATGGAATGTGCTGGACAGATGGGCAGCCCCACCCAGCTCTGAGGGGTAACGGGGAGCAGACCAGGGGGCTTTTCTCACTACCGCATACAATTGGGGTGCACCCCATAAAATCAGACTTTCGGGTACATGTGGAAACTTTCAGGCACATGTGGAAATGCTCTCACCCCTGTGCTTGCAGATGGAGGGGCTTCTCTCCCACCCGAATCTCTCCCCTCCCTGAACTTTGTAGTCCATGTCCAGACCTCCCTCCAGATGCTCATGCTCATTTCTGGACTCCTGGGTGCCTCTGCTTCCAGGAAAAGCCTGATGGCACCCGTCGACTGCCCTCTGCGTTTGCTTCTTGATTTTGAATGGCATGGACTGCGTCTGGTGTGGCTCCAGGAAGAGGGAGCACTGCCCGGCCCCCATGAGGCTGACACACGCCTGCTCCATCACATCCTGCCTGCGGCCTCCGGTCATCCTGCACTCCACAGACAGGACAGACACACTGCCGAGTGCCGCAGGGAGGGAGGGGTGGGGGCACAGGCGGCCACCCGTTCTGAAGAACGGTTCTTTGGTTGGTTGGTTGGTTGTGGCTGCTGGAGAGCTGGGATAAGGATTCTGAAGCTGGGTGTGGCTCTGTGGGTGAGGGACAGTGTCTCCCATGAATGTGGGAGGGCGAAGTGGCAGGAGGGGACGCTGCCTGGTTGGGCCCAGACTGTGGAGAGAGGGCACTGAAGGCCGGGGGGAGGAGTGCACCGATGGTGCAGGCGGCTGAGACTAGAACCTGGAGACTGGTCTCTGCCGGATGCATGCCACAAGGTCAAGACGTGGCTGAGAGCCCCGTGCCAGCTCACAGCAGTGCGTTGCTTGCGTTTGCTGGACACGGAGGGGCATGGCTGAGGAGGGAAAGGTCACTCTGATGCTTGCCCCGACGTGCCCAGCAGGGCCGAGGTGCTTGCAACTGGCAGGAGCTGATCTGGAGAGGCATCTGCCACTGACCCTTGGCACCTGGCCCACCCCGGCAGCCCTTGAGAAGTGGTCTAGGTCTTCCCGTGGGGGCTTGGCTCCTGGCTGGGCTGGTGGTCTCCCACCCCTGCCCCATGGTAGGTGCTGTGAGCAACGGCACCCCTGGCTAGGGTGGGCGTGTGTCCAGAGGAGATGTCTGTGAGGTGTGCCCCCCCCCCCCACAGAGACACCTCCAACCTCTGTGGAGCCGTTTCAGCACCCTGACATAAAGAAGTCCATTAGGTGACAATGGCTGTTAGAATAAGCCTCAGAAACAAACACAGGCATGTAGAGGGTGACAGGTCTGGAGGTGGGGAAAAGGCAGGTCTCAGGAGTCAGTGTCTTGCAGGTAAAGCTAACGTTAGCCCCGGGGTGTTGGATTGGCCACAGGGCCGGGTTTGCAGGACATCTGAGTGGGACCTGATGCCTGGCTGTGGCCTATCCTGAACGTGGGGGGGGACCCTCTGGCTGGGCGTGAAGTAGAGAGGAGGAACCCCAGCCCTGCCCCCCCCCCCCCCGCCTTGCCTCCCACCCTGGTCCCTCGGCTATGGCTGGACCAGGGCAACTGCTGGGTGGGAGGATGGGAGAGGTGGACCCCTGAGTCCAGTTCTGAGCATCTCTCCCGTCCCCGACAGCCCTCACTCCTGTTTGGGGATCCAAAATGTGGTTCTGGGAAACCCAAAAAACTGGGTCATGTGACCTGGACATGGCCAAAGAGCACACTGCATTCCCTGGCAGGTGACTGGTTCCAAGGTGTGGATTTGACCAGAGCCAGTCCAATTAGAGGGAGCTCTGGGACTTTGGATGCTGACAGGCAAGGTCCTTCTCCAGCTCCACCTGGGAGCTACTGCGGGCATCTGAGGCCGTGGGGGTGCCAGCCCCAGGATGTGGCGGGCTGTGGGAGGCACATGGGGAGAGGGAAAGGGGCCAGGCCAGTGGAGACAGCTTGAGCCACTGGGACCTGACAGCGGCGCGTGGCCCCCATTTCCTGCAGTCACATGGACCAGTTCAACTGGGTGTCTGCTGGGAACCTTGAGAGGCACGGGGCAGACCCAGGCCCTACCTCTCCTGGCCACCCCTGAGACAGCTGCTCACACCCATGGCGCCCAGTCCACACTCACACAGAAGAATGACGATGCAGATGAGGATGGCCACAATGGCGCCGGTGCCCAGGCCAGCTGCTGCCACCGCACCGATGGTGGTGCAGTCGCCGTTGTCATCACACGGGCACACCTTGACCTTGATGACGGACGTGTTGGACAGGGGAGGGTTCCCAGAGTCTGTGACAGTGATGGGGACGTCATACATCCCAGCCTCCAGGTACAGGATGCGCAAGCTGAGCTGGGCATAGTCACCTGGTGCAGAGCAATGGTAAACGTTCAGCAAACATCCAGCCCTCCTTCCCCAGCAAGACTTCCAAAGGAACAGTCTAGGTTTGGTGGCATGGGAGCTTAAAATATCTGCATGGCTAACATGCATGTCACCATTAGGTGAAAAGACACTGGCGATGCAAGAAAAAGCCATAGCAACACGTAGGATGAAGAAATCATTTCTTGAATATATAAAGGGTTTTACCAAATCAGCTAGAAAAAACACCTCCCCAAGGAAAAGTAGGCAAAGGTATTGAACAGAAAATTCACAGAAGATATAAATGGCTGATAAATATATGACAGCATTTCCACTGGTAGTTAAGAGATGCAAATGGAAACAATGACTTTTGGCTGTAAAATTGGCAACATACTTTCTAAAACAACAATATTCAGTGTTGGTGAGGATTTGAGGAAACGGGCACTCTCCCGGTGGAAGTAGAAATTGGTAGAATGTTTCTAGAGAGCATTTTCACGGTGCCATCAAAACTTCAGAATTTTAACACCCTTTGGTATAGCACGTCCCCATCTGGGAAAGTATCCCAAGGAAACACATGACAGGGCCCAAGCAGATGACAGCTGGCGCGGGAAGGAATCAAGGACGACTGCGGTTACAGGAGCAAAGATGTTCATGGCTGTGCTCCTCAAAGCAGCAAGAAACCGGGAGTGACTTACTGGCCTCATCGGGGGTGGTGTGGAGAGGGCTGAGCAAGCGAGATAAGATGTCGCCCGTCCCCGTTGCTCACTCTTCCTGGGCAGACTCAGTCTGGCTCTCCCCACATGGCTGTGCTCCTCAAAGCAGCAAGAAACCGGGAGTGACTTACTGGCCTCATCGGGGGTGGCGTGGAGAGGGCTGAGCAAGCGAGATAAGATGTCGCCCGTCCCCGTTGCTCACTCTTCCTGGGCAGACTCAGTCTGGCTCTCCCCACGGCTGTGCCCCTGTGGGCTTGTGCCCCAGGTGGGCTTACCATTTAAACGGGTGATGGTCCAGTTCTTCCGCACCGTGGCTGGGACGAAGGGCAGCTCAAAGACATAGGGGCCGATGTTGGGGTCGACGTCTGCGTCGGCCGCTGTGATGTTGATGGCATTCAGGTTGGGTTTCTCGCAGATCTGCGCCTCCTTAGGCAGCAGCTCAGGGGCGTTGTCGTTGATGTCAATGAGATAGATCTGCAGGGTCCCGGTGCCACTGGCTGGAGGGATCCCTGCGGGACAGATGGGGTGACCACATAGGCTACTCCTGGTACTCCATGACCATGGCCACAAGATAACACGCATCAGACCAACCCACAGCCTCACACAGGACAGACACACAGATAACCACACATAACACTCAGGAACACATCTGTAGTCCCACATGGGATGGCCCCCCTGCCCCTACACAGCTGCATGCCAGGCTGATCCACAGACTCAGCTGTAACCTCAAACCTGCACCGATACCTGCCGTTCGCCCTAGGCAGCAGCATACAACATGTGACAGCACAGACCATGCAGACACGCAGCCACCCTGACCACAGCTGCAGACATGGACACGCATACACACGCACGTGCTCACCCTCCAGTGACTCAGCTGCACAAGACGGTGCTCACCCAGCTTAGAGCCAGGTGACCTGCAAGCCTGGCCACACACTGGGGATCCCTCTCCTCAGGGGCCCAGGGAAGGGCTCTGAGGATGCTGGGACTCCAGGGCTCTGCACAGGACCCATGAGGGTTGGGACCTGCCCTCCCACATCTTTCCTAGCCTGGACTTTTTGGGGCAAGGCCTTTCCTTGCTTTCCTGCACTTTCCTGGTCCGACCCAACAGGGTCCCTGGTGGCCAAGAGCCCTGAGCCCAGGCATACAAAGAACTGCTGCTCCTGGAACTAAGTGTGAGAAGGACGGAGGGAGGCTCTTGAGATGAGCTGTGGATTGGGGTGCACCCCTGCCCAGCAGGCATCTCCACAGAGGTCCCTGGGTCTGCCGAGCCCCCAACTCCTTAGGGGGCTGCTCCGTCCCCTGAGCCCCCCTGTATACCCAACTGCTGCCTTGGCCCATGCCTGTGGTGCTGGTGGACATGTGCCGGGTGGCCAGAATCTGGGGACAGAGATATGTTCCGTACACCCTCCAGGCATGGAACCTGTGGCACCAGCAATGTGCTGACCTCTGCCTTTTTTTTTTTAACTTTAATTTTTTTTGCAGTTGGCTGGCGTGGGGATCAGAACTTGTGACCTTGGTGTTATGAGGCTGTGCTCTAACCAACTGAGCTCACCAGCCAACCCTGACTGCCTTTTGATGACATTTCTGACCTGACATTAACCACCATGGTTTTTGCCTGAAGCAGTCGGAGTGTGTAAAAAATATATCCTACGGGACGTCTGTCTTCCAGAGGACCCTTCAGAGCGCACAGAAGGTGAGGCAGCTTGGGTGCCTTTGAAACCTGCGTTGAGACGTGGATGGTGACTTGCCACATCACCGGGAGAAGTGCAGGGCACTTGCCCAGCCGCCCAGCTGGACTCGCTTGACACGGTGCCTGCCACGGGCTTCCTGCCGCCCCCCATGGCCGGCTGCAGGTGTGGTTATGATCCCTCTCTCACCTGACCTTGGCTGTGAGCCACTGCGGGAGAGGATGTCAAGGAGAGAGGCTCCCCCACCAGGGTCCGGTGCTCTGCACAGGCTGGCTGCATGGCCTGGGCTTTGGGGACCCAGTTTCCCTTGCTGTGGGGCCAGCTCGTGCGACCGCTATGCTCGCTTGCGAAGCTTGAGCTACTCTGCTCTTCCAAGAACCCACCAGCCACCCGGCTGCTGGCTAAAAGCATTTGAAAGCTACGGATTTGGTTTGATGCCTCAGTGTACAGATGGGGAAACTGAGAAGCTGCTCGGGTTATGGAGTTAAGCAGGGATGGGGCTGGGAGGGCTGGGTGACAGCGGGAACCTTCGAGTGGGCGTGTCTGAACAGCTGAGTCAGCAACAGTGTCGGATGGAGCAAGGGGGGGAGGAGTGCCTGGTGGGACACAGTGGTGACGAACCCCTCTCACAGACATCACCTCGTAGTGTCTAGCCCCACCCCCAGCCCCCCAGTCCCCTGGGCGTCTCTGGTGACCCTCTGGTGCCTGCTGGCCTCTCATAGTTTCTCTGACCACTGCCCTCCCTCACCCACAGACCCGGGAAAGCCATCATGACAGTCGCCCCCAGAGCAGGGCACACCATTGTCAGCTGCCAGGAAGGTGGCCTCGTAGACATTGTTTTTGATGTAGAGGGACTCGCGGTCAAGGACAGCTGCCGTGGTGATCTGACCGTTGGTGGCGTTAATGTGCAGCCAGTTGGCAGGGTCTGACAGTTTTGAGTACCTGCAGAGAGAGGAGGTGAGGGGCTGAGGCAGGGTGGAGGTGAGTGGGGCTGCCCGGGGCCCCCACCCCTCCTCATTCGCCGGGGTCGGGCAGGTGCACCTGCCAGCCACACAGCCCAGGGCCTGGCCCATGTTTCTGTGTCCTCGAGGTCCCTGGAGGCTGTGTCCTCCTCTGGGGCTCCCCTCCGCCTGTGCTGGACCCTCCCACAGCAGGACAGCCCATAGCAGTGGCTAGGGTCGGGCAGGTGCACCTGCCAGCCACACAGCCCAGGGCCTGGCCCATGTTTCTGTGTCCTCAAGGTCCCTGGAGGCTGTGTCCTCCTCTGGGGCTCCCCTCCGCCTGTGCTGGACCCTCCCACAGCAGGACAGCCCATAGCAGTGGCTAGTTGTCTCTGAGCTCTTACTGTGGTGGACAGTCCCAGCCCTGCAGGGACCCCAGGAAGCACGTGCTTTCACCGTCCCCATTTTACAGATGGAGACACTGAGAAACAGTGAGGGTAAATGACTTGCCAAAGTCACACAGCTAGAGAATGAAGCCAGGGTCAGAGCCCGGCCTGCCTCTAGACATGATTGGCACCTGGATACTCCCACTCCTCATTCTGCTGATCAGCTGCCATGTGCTGGCTGCACTGTGTGACTCCCAGTATCGGGCTGTCCCCTGGATGGGGGATGCTGTTGCTTCCTGCCTGGAAATACACCAAAGGTTGGGGAGGCCCCTAACCACCCACCCGGGGACTTTCTGGATTTCATAGGGCATTTTGGGACTCTTCTGTATGGAAAGCAGGGAGCTGAGGGTTGGAAGCCCCTTCTGGAGGGCCCAAGGGCGGGTGCGGGGGCTTTGCCTGGGACCTACCTCACGGCTTGCTGCATGAACCGGTCGGGGTCCACGGCTGAAAAGGTGGTTAGCACGGTGCCCATGGGCACGCCTTCCTCCAGGCGGATCAGCTTGTGGTTGGAGGGGAAGTAGGGGGCCTCGTTGACGTCCATGACGGAGATGGTCACACCTGCTGTGGACTGGAAGGACATCTGGATGCCACTGGCCAGGGGTGCCTGGTTGGACACCATCACGGTCAGCATGAAGGCTCTGTTCAGCTCATAGTCGACGGCCTGGAACGAGAGATGCCGGTGGTGGGATGGGGGATAAGTGGGCGCAGCTCCCTGGGGCATGGGCCTGGGGCAGCAGTCCCCAGGGGGTGGTGGGACACACAGGCTGGTCAGTCTCCACCTGGTTCCAAGTCATTTCCTGTTCCCTCTGGTCTGTTTTATATCCAGAGAGGTCCCATCTTCCACGTGCCCTTGTCTTCTGGCTTCCTGCTGGGTTTGGCCAATGGGAGGAGAGAGAGGTTGGGCCCCACCCACGGCGGGGCAGTAGCTGGGCCCCTCTTCTGGTGCCAGAATGCCATGACCCCACCCTGCTCCCTCACGCCAGGCATGGTAAAGTCTCCTGCTGTTGCCTGCCCAGTGCTGCCTCACCAGGGTGGTGGATTGAGGGGTGGCTCCCAAAAGATATGTCTACCTGGAACCTGTGAACAGGCCCTTATTTGGAAATGGGGTCTCTGCAGATGTAATTAAGTTAAAGATCCTGACATGAGATCATCCTTGGACGAGGTCTCCAAAGACAGAGTCCCTTTTAAGAGGAAGGGAGAGGGATAGTTGAGACACACAGACACGGGGAGAAGGCCATGTGAACACAGAGGTGGAGACTAGAGGGATGCAGCTCCCAGCCAAGGAACCCCCAAAACTGTCAGCAACCACCAGAAACCAGGAAAGCAGCAAGGGACAGATGCTCCCCTAGAGCCTTCCAGGGAGTTCAGTCCTCTGACACCTTGATTCCAGGCCTCTGGCCTCCAGACCTGAGAGGGAATACAGTTCTGCGGTTTACCCACCCAATTTGTGGTAATTTGTTACCGCAGCCCTGGGGCACCAACACACCAGGTCTGTGGCTCCCCTTCCAGGATCTGCACAGACTCTGCCCTTCCGTGATTCCCAGTTACACCCTTTGGTGGGCCAGGACCCGGACTGATAAATACTAGAATGGTTCTACTGTCTATAGCTCTGCAATTGGTGATGTAAGAAAATCTTGCTCAAGCCTCCTCTACACATTTTGGGGATGGAGAGAATCTGCACAGAAGCAGCTCAGGGCCCTGAGACATGGGCCTGTTCTGTGGTAAAGCTTGCAATGGTCTCACTGGAAAAAACACAATGCGTTGCTATTGCATTAAAAAAACTCTGCTTAGGGCCGGCTCCATGGCTCACGCGGGAGAGTGCGGCGCTGGGAGCGCAGCAGCGCTCCTGCCGCGGGTTCGGATCCTATATAGGGATGGCCAGTACGCTCACTGGCTGAGCGCGGTGCGGGCGACACCAAGCCAAGGGTTGCGAACCCCTTATCGGTCACAAAAAGAAACAAACAAACAAAAAAATCCTCTGCTTAGACACATGCAAAGTAGCATGTGCGTGATTTTCCATTGCGGTATTACTTGCAGAGGCAATGTATTGAAGCAAGCCACAGGCCCACGAGCAAGGCCTGCAGGACGTGCTTATGGTGGAGACATGCACAGGTGCAGAAAGAACAGGAAGGCCTCTGTGCTGAAGTCAAGAGATCTCTAGGATCTGCTGGTGAGCAAAGAAGCAACACCCATGGAGTGCTGCCTTTTGTGTAAAAGAGGGAGGAAAAGATGACTTTGCATATGTGTTCGTTCATATTTGCAGAAAGAAACACTGCAGGGATAAATCATGCAGCTCCCAGCCAAGGAACCCCCAAAACTGTCAGCAACCACCAGAAACCAGGAAAGCAGCAAGGGACAGATGCTCCCCTAGAGCCTTCCAGGGAGTTCAGTCCTCTGACACCTTGATTCCAGGCCTCTGGCCTCCAGACCTGAGAGGGAATACAGTTCTGCGGTTTACCCACCCAATTTGTGGTAATTTGTTACCGCAGCCCTGGGGCACCAACACACCAGGTCTGTGGCTCCCCTTCCAGGATCTGCACAGACTCTGCCCTTCCGTGATTCCCAGTTACACCCTTTGGTGGGCCAGGACCCGGACTGATAAATACTAGAATGGTTCTACTGTCTATAGCTCTGCAATTGGTGATGTAAGAAAATCTTGCTCAAGCCTCCTCTACACATTTTGGGGATGGAGAGAATCTGCACAGAAGCAGCTCAGGGCCCTGAGACATGGGCCTGTTCTGTGGTAAAGCTTGCAATGGTCTCACTGGAAAAAACACAATGCGTTGCTATTGCATTAAAAAAACTCTGCTTAGGGCCGGCTCCATGGCTCACGCGGGAGAGTGCGGCGCTGGGAGCGCAGCAGCGCTCCTGCCGCGGGTTCGGATCCTATATAGGGATGGCCAGTACGCTCACTGGCTGAGCGCGGTGCGGGCGACACCAAGCCAAGGGTTGCGAACCCCTTATCGGTCACAAAAAGAAACAAACAAACAAAAAAATCCTCTGCTTAGACACATGCAAAGTAGCATGTGCGTGATTTTCCATTGCGGTATTACTTGCAGAGGCAATGTATTGAAGCAAGCCATAGGCCCACGAGCAAGGCCTGCAGGACGTGCTTATGGTGGAGACATGCACAGGTGCAGAAAGAACAGGGAAGGCCTCTGTGCTGAAGTCAAGAGATCTCTAGGATCTGCTGGTGAGCAAAGAAGCAACACCCA